TGATGGAAAATTCGAGGAAGAGATCGACCGGCGGATGCTTACTTCCAGTGATGAGTCGTATTTCATCACGGTTAAGCCTCGATTCCGTGTACAAACGGCTGAAATGGGCTTAGGAGTCACTGAGCTTACGAGTTCTGAAACGAGTCGCTGGCCATACGCGTCTGGACGTTTTTCAGAGAACAGATATCCGAGAGAGTCTTAGTGTACAGCCTGCTTCTAGAGATTGAGAAGTCGCCGCTGCGATAACTTGGACACTAGGAATGGTTAGGAATGCTTTCAGAGATGAACGCTAAGCACTCGTACTTTTCCAAACGATAGATCGAAGACCCGTGGAAGGCACGAATATTCTGGGGCAAGTGCGTGGAAACAATGTGCTCCAGATTCGATCGGATGATCTTCTGCCGACGCTCAAAGGCTGGCACAGGATTAGACGCATTGGAGATACCATCATCTGCCTTCGCGATCCGAAAAGATAAGCGGTCATTGAAGCTGACCAACTGACTGATGAACGTTGAAGTTATTCATTTCTGTTTAATGGCATCTCCAACGGTTTTAGTAATTCATTTATTGAATAAGTTGTTGCACCGAATGCCAGTTCGAGAAAGTTTCCAACAGGATATGGAGCCAAGTCCGCACCAACTGAAGTTCCAATTTGTAAAAAGCTCTTGGATCGCAAAAAGCGCAGCTAAGGCATGCCTTACCCTATAATGAGGCAATATTATTAATAGCAACAGTGAATAGATCTGTCAAGATGAATTATTAATATTTCGCGTACCGCGAAAACATCATCCAATATGAAAAAGGACGAACGGATCTGATGAACGTCGAAGTAACTCTTGCCAACAAACTGTTAATGCAGCAGTAAGAATTGAAAACTGGTCTTACCGTATGACTGCTCCACATGCTGCAAAAGAGGAGAACAAAAACATCCAAAGTTAACTATTTCCTCTAAATATGGTATGCGAGTTGCATATAAAAACGACGAGGTATTTTCTAACTTTGTTTGATCAATTGTTTTATATTTTGTGCAATTAAATTAATTGTTTTGTATGATTTTCGTGTAAAAATGCAAACGACACAGTAGGATGTAATTTCTTCTTGAAGAATGTTCTGACGCGTTTGTGCCTAAATATGCACTGATTAGTAGCAGATCATGCAAAATGGCTTATTTCTGTTTCCACAAAATTCATTTGATATTTTACTTTCAATGCACATCGACGTACAGACGAGAACTGATAAAACTAGGTGGATGATGTGTTCTACAGCTTTGTCATGTGGCGAAAGTTGCATACACCGAAGAAGATGAACATGATCACATCAGAATGGTGACACCTCATTCAGAGGGAAGAAAAGTTGCTTGAGAGCTGTTCGGAACTCGCAGCTGCCAAGGAAATAAACGAAAAAGTCGAGGACGGCGTTCAGGGCGATCAGTCCGCGAAACGAGTAGAGAAATCGGTGGTAGGAATCGTCGTGTTTCGTGTAAAGCGCCAGTAGCAGACAGATTCGGCCACTTATCTGTGAGACGACCGTGATGACCATCATACCGACCTGCACCTTGATCTCTCTGGTCTGTTGGATGAACTTGAACTTGCCGAGTTGTGGCAATCCACGGGTCTGAAATACCTTTCTCTTCGCGCGCATCACCAGTATCATGATGGTGCTGATGAGCACGATCAGCATTGCCGATCCGACGTTGATTCCCTGAATAATATATACCGTATTTATCGTTCCTAAGCAGAAGTTGCTGTCGCACGATAGGAACATCTCGCCGCTGTAAAATCCGTTCCACAGCATGAGTACCGTCTGCGACAACGTTATGATGACGCTGATGACCACCATCGGGATTTGAAACTTGATTAACCGTAACTCCTTATAAAGGACTGGACGAAAGACAGCCACGGCTCGGTCTATCGCCATCGCCAGAACCAGGTATATGGACAACGTCTCGGAGGTGAACAGAATGGCGTAGATTTGGCAGCACACCTTGCCAGACACGTTTTCGTTGACGATGAACTTCAGCAGACTTCCCATACCGAGTACGATGAAGTTGATGCCAGAGAAGAGGTCGTTGCACGACTGCAGCACCATCAGGAAAAAGCTTTTGCTGCGTAACTGCTTACTTTTGCAGACGACGAACAACACCAGCAAACTCGTGCATAGAGCTATCATGCCGAGTGCGACCACCATTGCTTGAGTGCTGTTGTTAATGTAATGCAATTCGGAACTCAAATTGTACACATGGTTGGCAGCTATTAAACTTTTGACGCGGATTCCGATATCGGGCAGACTCCGTGTGCTAGACGACCCTGAAATGCTTTCATTATAACAATCTGTTGTATCTTCAGTGTGCCAGGTCTGGATAAAGGTTTATATGGATATACGATATATGGATATAGGTTTATTGTGGTGGCCGAGCCGGATAAAGCAAACTCTCACAAGACGAGACGATACAACATACCACAAGTAACAAAACGATGGGTTTATATGCTCGACGATCGGCGCGTAGTAAATGGCGTTCTCACATATGCTAATGCCTAGAGCGCATGATTTGATCTGATTACGTGGCGATGTGAAGTTGATTAGATCACAACATGCAAATAAAGTAGTCGGTCGCACGGTCGCATCAGTGCACGAATGACCCATGACGATGACTTATGATCGTCCGTGCCACAAACGATGCTAAACAGAACACAGTCCGCAATTTGCTGTTGACTCTTTGACAACGACTTATAGCGAGTCAATTTCTTTGCAAGTTTCTGAAACAACACGTTGAATATGGATTCTACCTTCGAGCAGTGTTTTTGAAATCTGCTAGCAATTATGTCACGGTCGCAGCCATTTTAAACTGGTGCATTTAAAAATGCTATTGCTAAGCAATCGGGTAGTAGTGGTCAAGCCAAGGCGTCGTGTCTCTGTTCGATCGCTCGTGTGGCTGTACTTTTGTTGCGCTCTACTCAGACTGTTAGCAGGGCGATGTCTGAGTCACATCCACCTATCGACACAACGTTCGGAACCAAGAAATTTGAAGTACAGATGGTCGACATCTGCAGCAACAAAGATTCGGATCTTTTAATGGAACGTGAAGGCTTTGAACGGCGATGGGGTACTAGACGACTTCACCTAAACCGCAAATTGGTACACTTCTGAAATACCCGAATATACAGAATTCCGTCTCCTTGGCCATGGAGAATAGCAGCTAGCGAACAACTGGCTTCTCCGCTGATTCAGGCAGAGAAGACAAATGCCTGGAAGCGGGAGTTGTTTTCCTTCTCTTGCCCAAGGCTACAAAGTCACTC